AGTAAATATATATATATTTTTATTAAATTTAGTTGTTTTACTTTTTTAAATGGAGGTGACAGATTTAGTTGTTTTATTTTTTATTTTAATAATTTAATAACATACTAAATATTAATATTTTACTTTTACTTTCATCTCAAAAGAGATAGAATTGTGTTAAAATTTTTTATTAAATTATAAATAAGAGTGAAACTGAAATAATAAGTCATAATTATTGTAATAAAAGAATTTTTAAATAATGGTGAATAGATGAAATAGGATAACTAAATTTGATAAAAATAAATATTTTATAAGATTCAGCTAACACATTTTTAAAATACATTTATATAAAAAATATTAAAGTAAACATTAATTTTAGAGTTAATATTATATGAATAAATTTAATTAGATAATTAATAAATTAAATGTTATTTTTTATTTTTTTTTCAAAATTCTTAACTTATTTCTCTAAAGTATATGTTAGAAAAACCTTATTTTATACATTAAAAAGAAGTAATTATTAAATAATAAATAATGATTTAATTACACGTAAATTTTATATATTACATTTATATAAAATTTTAATTATTGATACTTATATTTTTAATAATTAAAATTCATTAATTTTTTATTATATTTATTATTTTATATATATGCATGATAATAAATTTTAATTATAAAGATAAAATATTAAAATTATATATGTATGATATGTAAAATTTATATATAAATAAATTTTATTATAATTAATATATATAAAGTTATATTAAAAATTATAAACGAAAGTTGTCGTCAAATACTGTTTATTTGAAAAAGTAATAACATTAAAAAGAAGGGGTTCGAGTTTCAAAATTCCCGCTAAGGTTGATGTTGTTGCCTTTGAATATTTGGCGGCATCGTCTTGACTAAACAACTTTCCTTTTCGAGTGTTTGGTCCCACTCCACGCCTCTTGTCACTTGACGTACGCCTCTCCCTTTTGTGAGTGAGAAGGTGACGTTTTTTACATTCTTGCATTTTATAATTTTCTTATAAATTAAGTCCGTAATTAAACTTGAGTTGAGTTGGATTTTTTTTTTTTTGTTTGGTTTGAATTTCATATGAATCAAACACCATTAATTACTAATAATAATTTAAGGGCATATTTAGTGTATAATTTTTTTAAGAAAAATTTGGATAAACGGACACAAAATATAATTTAAGTTGATTTAAAAAATTAAAATTTTTACCAACGATCTAAATGATTTAGTAGTAATATCTTTTTATTAAAAATAAAAGATTTTGAATTCGAATGTATAGCATGCAGATGAAGTGTAATAAAAGATTAAAAATAAGAGATTAAAAATAATTATCTCTTATTATACAAGTAAAATAAAAAAATAAAATAAAATTTTTAAGTGACAAATTTAAATACAATATAATTAATTATAAAAAATAATTACAAAAATATATATAATCACTTTTTTTATAATCAATTATATTATTTTTATGCAAAAAGTTTTGGGAAAAAGTTTTTCTAGAAAAGCTGCAACGTACTAAATCACCTTCCTTTTCTAATCAATTACATTGCACTTAAATTTAAGTATCAAAAAAAAATTTAATTTTGTATATAAATCTAAGTCCAACTAATTTTTGTTTGACCTTTTCAAAATTTTTTTTCAAAGGAACTACAAACCAAAACAAGTGCTAAATGTGAAATCTTGAAAAGTATTTCAGTCTAGAAGGAAAAGGCTATTAGAATGGTAGTTCTGAATCAGTGACATCAGATCTTTGATTAAGATTGTTTATTTTTTATAGGTGATGTGTTTGAATCTCATAAAATTTATTTTTTCCTTCCCTCATATATACCTACAAATAATGTTAACATTATTCAAAAAAAAAAAAAAAAGAAAGAAGGAGAAGGCTAATGAAGCTTTAATTCCACTTATTTTCATTTTTATTAGAATGGTTCTTAATTATTACATGTATTAAATTTTAATATAATCTAACATCCAACAAATAATATTGTTACTTGCCTAATCTAATTTGTATCAAAAAGGGATCTAATTAAAAAAGTTACATCTTTTTCCCACTGATTGTGAGTGGAGACAAAATTATGCTTGAGTGGCTATAAATGGCTCAAGTAGTTCAATAAACTTTGTTGCTTCTCTTAGGTCCACGAAATGGAAAGGTAACAAAAAGGTCACAATGATGACTTCAACTCAAGCACAGTTTATACCTTGAGGATGTTGTGGCGTTCAAGTTTTCCAGTGCTTCAACCAAAAAAAAAAAAAGAAAGAAAAATCAATTTTAGGGCAAGTATTTGATGTTGGTGTGTCAAGCACAAGCGTTACAAGCAAACAAATTAAAATGTCTATTTCACATAACAAATATCTTTCTTAACCTCCAACTCCAAATATATATCAAAGCATGTCTTCAATCCCTCATATTGCAATAACGATTATAAATTAAATCACCAATTAAAGCATAATTATAAAATTTTAAAAGGATCGATGCATGCATTATATCACGCTTAATTAAGTCATACATATTAGTTTATAATAAGTTTCTAAAGCTTCTAATTTATTTGAAGTTTGTAAAAAAGATGAAGAACTAGGAAAAAAATTAACTGGCTGAAATTAAACATGTCTCCATGGAAAAGAAGAAGAAGAAGAAGACATGAAAGAAACATGTTTCAGTAACAAATTAACAAAGGTTTTGTTGAAGGGGGACCAGGCGTGACATCTATAGTTATATGGAGCTATCTGGACTATATATTTGTCTGTCTTCAAAAGATTAAATCAAAGGGGTTATGGTCTTATTTATGGATGGTCAGTAATATGTACCCACTGGCCATTGGAGGGGTCAATACATCGTTTAAACTTATTATAGGAATTATTGAGCGACTGGACCACTTCCCATCACTTCTCACCCAACTCGCTACTTCTCAGCATTTTTGTTTTTATCTAAACTATCATAGCGTGGTAATTGGTAAATTACTAATAAGAGTCTATTTCCTTTTATATAATCTATTATCAAATGTAAAAAAAAAAAAAATCAATATATATTTTAGTTGCAAGGAGATGTCGTAAGCCTTAACTATTAAAGCCTTCATGTCTATGCATTAATTTTTAGAAATCTTTAATTTAAATCCTAAAACACATAAGAAGGAGTTTGAAATAAAGACATCGATGTTTCGTCTCTATATTTATTTATTTACAACTTTATACCTTTGTTACTTAGGATATGTCTTAATTATTGAGCTTGAAACTTTTTAGAGGTTTTAATTTGGACCCTTTAAATAAATAATAGAAATTTGAAAAGTGTGAGGACTAACCTTAAACTTCAGTTATAAGACCCATTATTAGGTATTAAAAAAAAAAAAAAAAAACTTTTCTCATGTGAAAGTTTGTTTGGTTTCTCACCGTTCTGGGCCTTTTGAGAATGAAGGCCCAATTTAAGCTGAACCATCAAACTACAGGCCTCTTAGTCCAAGTACTGTATTGATTGGTGTTATCAGCCCATTCTTGGCGAATTTTCCCCTAAAAGATGTCGTTTCAGAACCCGCTTGGTTTTTTCCAACTAAAACGTAAAACCCTATCGCCACCCTAACTTAAACCCTACAGTTCGGTGTTCTGTTCACCAGAAGTGCATATTCCATCATTTCCGGCGTCGTTTCCCAGCCGGCGATCGGTAGCCATAGAGGATATAATGCCTATTAAGCTGCCGTCGCAGCTCCGTCTCCTCAGCCCGTCTCTTCAGATCGCCCATTTCTCCTCCATGAATCCCCGAGCCTCCTTTCACTCCTACCGGGCATCGCCTGCTTTCCGTCGAATCTTCCCCTTCAAGCTCAAATATCTATGGTTGTCTTGCCACATTAACGAGCAACCTGGAGTAAGGAGATTATCGACCCGGCCGTTTCAACACAGGTCAGGGTCAGGTTTCGGTCGTAGCAATAATAGAGGAGATGTTCGTGCTTCGAAAAGCCTGATCGAGGACGAGGCTGAACTCAGTGACTGGGTCAGCGACTTGAGGACCGACTCGTTCCGTGGCCGACTGACCAGCGAAGACGAGGATAGGGATGCAGATAGGGCTCGCAATAGAGCAAGGAGTAGAGACAGAGAGGGAAATAGGGGACGGGGTTCGGTGAAGAGGCGGAGAGAGAGTGAATGGGACGAGTTTGGTGAGTCCAGGGGGAGGAGAAATCGTGGCGACTCGTTTAACTCCTTTTCGAGGACTTCACGAATTGGTAAGCGGTTTGATAGTGAACAAGAGGATGACGACGATGATGATGTGGAGGAATTGTATTCTCGGAAAAAGGGTCTTAGGACTAAGAGAGAGAATGGGAATGCTAATCCGTGGAAGGGGAAGAGAAATGATCTGAATTTGGATTCGAGAAATCCGAGGAAAGTGGGGAAGGGTTTGAGAAGAGAAGCAAAATTCCCAGAGGACGAAGAAGATGGAGGTGATTTTGAGGAGGAGAGGAGGGTAATGGGTGGTCTTGGAGAATTGCTTAGTGAGGAAAGTAGTGATGTTGAAGACGATGAAGACGATGAAGACGATGAAGATGGAGTCTTTAGGAAGAATCCCAGTTCTGCATTTGAATTGGAGAAGGACAACAGTGAGAACAGTGGACGGAGAAGTTCACCAGGGAAATCTGACTCCTATTTAAGCGAAACCAGGTAAAATTTAAGGGTTTAACTTACTGTTCTGTCAGACCCGATTATGGATTGTGCTGGTGCATTGCATGATAGTATTGACATTTATTGACAATTTCCTTGGCTTTGTGCTTCAGTAGTTCCCTTTTGTATCACTTATAGCTTTTTATAAAGATCTGACTCCTGTTCCATCTGCAGATTTGACCAGTGTTCGATCTCTCCATTGTCATTAAAGGGAATTAAAGATGCTGGCTACCAAAAGATGACTGTGGTACAGGAGGCAACTCTTCCAGTAATACTCAAAGGTTTAGTTCGTTCCAACATTGTTATTTATTAATAGCCAGAACCAGAACTCTGCCAGTGATTAGTTTAATGTTGAATTGTTTTGCTAGATTGTTCATTTCATGTCCTGATGGCAGTTTTGAATAATTTTATGTAGGGAAGGACGTTTTGGCTAAGGCTAAAACAGGCACAGGAAAGACTGTAGCATTTTTGGTAAGATGCTATTTTGCCATGTGCGTGGCATGCTGTTTATTTTTACCAATGGAATGTTGTCTGTAGACCTCTGCAATGCTCCTTAAAGTTTTCGAAAGACATTTGATTGTGTTTGCATTGTCATTGACACAGAAGCTTCCTTTCCAAAGTTTTAAGCCATTGTTGTTATAAACAGTCTTTTTTCAATGTGAAATAAAGAAAACAGAAAATTATGCATATATTGTGATGAAATAAGACAATTGGGATGTGGGATAAGTTTGTCTTTTGGCCACATTTATGTTTCTCCAATGCATAAGTCTTATCCTTTCTGGAGATAATAGTTCTCAGTAAAAGTGAAACTTTCCATCATCAATTGAATGTAGAAATTCCATTAACTTGCGCAAAAATTCCTTATTTTACTGTTTTTTTTTTTTTTTTGGTTTGGACCACCCGGTATCTGGAAGCCCACTGGGCCACCGACTAATCCGGATTTGAGCCGGGTAGGACCCAACGGGCAGCAAAGCTCACCCTTCCATTAGTAGATGCATTTTTATTTTTAAGTTTAACTTACTCAAAATTCTTGATTCTCAGCTTCCATCAATTGAAGTTGTAGCAAAATCACCTCCTGTTGATCGTGATGTAAAACGACCTCCAATTCTTGTGCTTGTGATATGCCCAACTAGAGAGCTTGCAAGTCAAGCTGCTGCAGAAGCTAATACCTTATTGAAGTATCATCGTACTATTGGAGTCCAAGTTGTCATAGGAGGTACAAGACTTGCTCTAGAACAAAAGCGCATGCAGGCAAACCCTTGCCAGGTGAGCTTCTTTTAATGGTGTTCTATTCTTATTTGCTTGTATGGGTTGGCATGACCGTGTGAACTAGGATAAAAATGGGAGAATTCAAATGGGTTATAATTGAACATTTGAGGCTATCTTAATGTATCCGATTCAGTGGATTCTCAACCACTATCCAACCAGACCCCATTATGGGTCTTCACTGTGAGTTTATGCTGCAGCTACTACCAATGCCATGTTTTAGTGAGATATCGTTATATTTTACATGAATTTAAAACTCTCAGATACTTGTTGCTACACCTGGAAGGCTCAGAGACCATATTGAGAATACTGCAGGATTTGCAACAAGGTTGATGGGTGTGAAAGTCCTTGTGCTTGATGAAGCTGATCATCTTTTGGACATGGGTTTTCGCAAGGACATTGAGAAGATAATTGCTGCTGTCCCAAAACAACGCCAGACACTTTTATTTTCTGCGACAATTCCAGAAGAGGTTTCTTTCTTTATACTTAGTACATTGATGGGTTATCTTTTTAAACAAAAATTCTAAAGTTGGAATCTAATGTCAAGGTCCGTCAAATCTGTCACATTGCTTTGAAAAGAGATCATGAGTTCATTAATACTGTTCAAGAAGGCAGTGAGGAGACAAATGTACAGGTAGGTTTTCTTGCCCTTGTTTGATACTTCACTCCTGATGGGATTATAAGTTTTCACAGTGTCAATTTTTCAAGCGTTGGATTATTTCAGGTCAGACAAATGCATATGGTTGCTCCCCTAGATGGGCATTTTCCTCTATTATTTGTCCTTCTGAAAGAACATATTGCAGATAATGTTGACTACAAGGTACTTACTACAGTTTATGTTACTTAGCTTTGTAATGCATTTGTTGGATACAGTTTATGTTACTTAGCTTTGTAATGCATTTATTGGAAAGCGCCAGTAAACATATTTTTGGTTATCTCCAATGTGGTTTTCTTCAAGCCTCTAGGCTGCTTATTAACTAAAATCACTGTCTTCCAATAGTTTGATAATCGGGCAGTTGGTTTCTGCAGGTCCTTGTATTCTGTACAACTGCTATGGTAACAAGACTAATGGCAGACCTTCTAGGTGAGCTGAAACTGAATGTTAGAGAGATACATTCTAGAAAGCCACAGAGTTATAGAACCAGAGTTTCTGAAGAATTCCGCAAGTCAAAAGGTCTTATTCTTGTGACTTCTGATGTATCTGCTCGAGGAGTTGATTATCCCGATGTTACCCTAGTTGTACAGGTAAGAGGATGATATGGCTAAACTTAATGCTCAATGGTCATTTTATATTCTGCTTTAACTTGGGGTAACGTTCAGGAATACTGCTTTCTGCCTTTTGCAAAGTGAGTTGTTCAAAGTGTAGTGCGCTTCTAAGGGGGCTGTTCCATTGAAACCTCCTTTTGGACCATTCTTTCAGCATCCTCGTTCAAATTTTTACATTTAATAAAACTTAAGCATTTTCTCCATTCCTTATCATGTTTAATCCTTGCCTTCTCTGTCGTCAGTCTACTTTACAAAACTGTTTTTTGCATGGACAGGTGGGCTTGCCAGCTGACAGAGAACAGTACATACATAGACTAGGTAGAACTGGTCGCAAAGGTAAAGAAGGCCAAGGTATTTTGTTGCTAGCTCCATGGGAGGAGTTCTTTTTGTCGACCATCAAGGATTTGCCAATAACAAAGGCTACCTTACCTTCAGTAGATCCAGACACAAAGAAAAAGGTTAGCTTAAGTAGATTTGTCCTTTCTTTTCCCGTGTACTCTTCTGGTTAATAAATTTGGACACAACTTGAATCGTTAGAAAAGAATTTGATGCGTTGGCAAGTGATAGTGGAGGAAAATCTTCTGGCAAGGCTAACGTATATTGAACAGGTGGAACGGGCACTTTGTCACGTGGAGATGAAGAACAAAGAAGCAGCATACCAAGCCTGGCTTGGTTATTACAACTCCAATAAGAAAGTAGGCAGGGACAAGTACAGACTTGTGGAGCTTGCAAATGAATTCAGCCGAAGCATGGGACTTGAGAATCCTCCTGCAATTCCGAAGCTCATTCTCAACAAGATGGGCCTCAGGAATATCCCTGGATTGCGTTCCAAATAAGTAGATGAGAAGACCTGTGTAGAATATTAAAACAGGATAATTCCTTTGCAAAAATCAACTATTCATTTCCATCAATTTTATCCCCAGGTTTCCTTCTATAAATCTAATTTTGTTGCATTGAATGAATTCTATAGCCAGAATTTGTTTGGATAATGATACCTGGACAACCCATTTGAAATGTGTATACAATATCATGTGTTCTACGCATCATGAGACGCTGTAAACAAGTAAATTTGTATTATAAAATTACCTCTATATCATTTTCCACTAGAAATTATAGAAAAGGCTCGAGAATATTAAGAAATGAATCAGATAAAATGAAATGCTAATCCCAGAGGTACAGCTATGAATTGAACGTAAGCACAATAATAAGGTAAAAGATTTCCTGTGCCCTCAAAGGCACATCCTTTTCATTTTCTGGTTCAAATTATGAAACAATGAAAGCTGTTACAACAAACTTTTAACTTCCCCATTGTTACTACTGGTACACCGCTAACTGTGAACAAAATCAGATAAGTGGCTATCGTTCTACTGAACTACTTATCAACCAAAAACCCTTGAACATTGTGTGAAAGAAAATCCTGACAAATTTTAATATCAGTGATTGCTAAATCTAAACCACATGTTCCTAATTTCAGTTACAATGTGTTGGAAACTAAAATTTAAAATCTAACCTCGGAGTGCTGCAGCCCTCTTCCCCACCACCCCCTCCGTATTCCCAACAACAGAGCTTTTCATAATAAAATTTCAGATTTCATACTGTACATACAAGCAGAAGCTATCTTTTGAGAAAACCAGCAAAGAGTTAACTGAATCAGAAAAATGAATTCCCGCTTCCTTAGTAAGGTGAGAACCAAAAGGTCCTATAATAAGAGGTTTTCTCATTATTATGTTCTCCAACCATCATTCCCTCACTTGGAAAAGCAAGGGGTGGGAAATCCACATCTTTCAATTGATCATTCTTCAGGACCACTGATCTGGCAATACAATCGAAGTCCCCTGTCAAGATCATAAATTGATAGCATTATAAAACAATCCAATTCAAATAAAATCAGACAACAAAAAAAAGGAAATTACTTACAAATACTGTTATGATATCCAGTTGTAAATTCAACTTCATTGCTACATAAACCATTTATTATGGTTTATGATTGAGAGACAAGGCACCAGAAATTTGAGATGGAGAAGGCCAGCCAGCAGTAGTAGGTGATATGAGTTTTGGTCAAGCTGGGAAAGGGTAGGGGTGGGGCAGACTGAAGGAAATTTCAACAGTTCATAGGAGTTCAAATTACCATCCCACCCATGCTACTCTGAACCCAGCAGATGGCAGCTGTATAGATGTGGGGTGCTTTTAGGCCTGTTGCAACTTGAAAGAAAAGAGACCAATTACCTTTGGCAGTGGGGTGAAGAAGGCTGATCTGGTGAAGAATGTTGACCAGAGGCCCCACAAAACCTTTTCTCATCAAATAACCCACCTGATTGATTACCCTCACCCAGCTGTCCATGGGAACCAAACTCAAGCTGTTCTGCAGGGGAACCATAACCAACAGTATGATCATTAGGATATAGCATGACAACAGATGGAATGGTAGGGCCATTAGATGACACCCCACTTGAGTTCATGGTAGGTACTGGATACATGCCATAGGCTACATTGCCAGACCCACCCTGTGTTGAGTTTGAGCGAACTGGACCATTTTGAGACTGGTATGCAGGAAATGAGTCATGCCTACGAAGACCCCAAGGCCTGTCAGTTCGGCTCTCAGCAGCTGCCAACCGGTCTGACCTCGATGTTGGTTTATCAGATTGGCTGCGATTATGGTTGCGCCCTGCAGCTCGTGCTTTTGAACCCATATTCCAGTTTCCTTCTCTATCACCACGGTGGTAACTTCTATCGTGGCTATAATTTCCCCTTCTTGTACTTGCAGAATGGCGTTCCCTCACTGAAACTTTCTGAAGGTTTCACATAAATAAATGTAAGATAATCTGAAAGCTTTCACATAAATATTTAAATATTTGAAAGTAAGGATAAATGAAGTTTCAGGAAAAGCTGCCTCAACAATATACTATCAATAATCATCAGAAATCATGGACCAATTTCATGTTGATGACCAGGATGTAATCTAACAAAAGCATCTCAACAATAGCTCACAATGATTCAACAATGCATAAACAATGACAGAAATTAATAGCAGAACCAATACTTTTTGTGATATATATGCACCCAGCACCTTCATTTTTATTTTTTTTTGGGGGTTACAACTAAGACAAATTTTATTAAAACTAACCATAAAGCAAACAGCTTGGTCACCTAGAAAGAGATGGAAACTACATCGGTTTTACAGGGTTCATTTTTGTTTAGTTTAACTAAAAGTGAAAAAAGCAGGCAAAAAGAGTTCCATTATAACCTTAACAAGCCCACTTGAATAGACCCTACACAGAGAAAGAAGGAAGGAAAAGAGAGTATTGGGGTTCTAAAGAATCAAGTTGAGGAATAGAAGAAGTTGAAAACACACACAGGCTCTCCACCAACTGAAAAAATGTGACTTACAGGACTTGGCAGATATGTTCCTGTGCCACTCCGATATCCTGGCATTTCAGCAGCATACCGCTGGTAAACACTGGCAGGTCTATTAGAAACAGACTGGAGAGGAGCAACAGGAACAAAACTAGGACTATAACCCACTAGCTGAGTGTAAAGATTCAAGTTGTTGGAAAGAGGTCTACCAGGACCATCCAAGGGAAAACATCCTTGTAGATAGACAGGTGGCATCATAACAGGTGAAGAATAAATCCAAGGTGCAGGATGTTGTGAATTTTGGCAAAACCGTCCATACTGCAAATTTTGCCAATGGCTAGCAAAATCACTGTTAAGGATGTCAGGCTTGTGTTCAGAAGGCTCAACAGAAGCAACACTTCTTGTAGAATTAGGAGTACTCAACACCTCACGCTGATCAAGTACCTTGGGTGAATCAAAATTTTGACTAGAATCACTGTTATCCAAACCTTCATCTGTGCTAAAATGGCTTGTTGAAGCATCAGAAGTTTCTGTTTCTGTTGGGATATTGTAAAATGGAATTGCCACAATTGGAACTGGCGGCCCTGCAGGATAAAAGGTAAGGGGCTGTGAACCCGGGCCTAAGAACACTGGAGCCATGGGCATCAGTGAATCTGATCCACTAGTCTGAGTTGGTTCAAATACAGCCATTTGATGCCTGGGAACATGCAAAGGACCAAATGTTTGAGCTCCTGTATTTCTTTCTGCCACCTCATTGCCCATGGTCAGTGCCAGATTCCACTCTTTGCTATCATCATCAGCCTGTGAAGAGTGCTCAGATACATTCTTAGCTTTTGCATGTGCAGCAGATGAAACCCCAGAAGTCGTTTTCCTACCTCGCTTCTCCCTAGCTGACTTTGAGGACTTCACTGATGACCCTTCCGAAGAACTCTCAGAAGAGCTTTTACTTCTCAAAGAATCAGCATGTGAACCAGGAATGGATCTAGAACTTGTTCTCTCGTCAAGGTGAAAGTCATTACCTCCGTTATCTTGACACTGAAAATTATCAGCATGATCTTCTCTTGTAGATGGTCGAGTTTCTTTGGTGAACTTCTGTTGGACCCTCACAGAACTTCCAGAAACACCTACCCTAGTTGAAGGAACAAAGTTATAACCAGCAGAAGTTGACTGTTGCTTGTCATTTGAAAGAAGCATTTCAAAACCTCCATCATCAAGATCAAAACCAGCATTGTAGCTCAATTCTTGCTCATTACAGAAATCATTTTCACCCTCTACTTGGTTCATTTCTGAAGAACCAAAATTTTTGTTACTAGGTTCAATTGACTCTTCTGTATTCGAAGCCAATCCAATGCTTGGAAAATAATGGGCAAGTGGTGGGGAAACCAAACCTTGTGTGAATTGCATATTAGTGCCCCATGGAGTCTCAATCAGGGGAAAATTTGTGGGAAAAATTCCACCAATATTTCTCGGGGCATATCCCATTGATGCCAAAACAGAAGGTGGGATTGGAAGTGGTAAGTGACCTGAAGCTAAATTTAGTGGTAAGCCATGAACTGTAGATGACACCATCATGTTGACAATGTCTTGCTCTTCCTGATGCATCCCCTGTGTCCCCCCAACAGAATGGAACTCTTCATTCATAGTGCCCATACCCAAATCATCTGGGTGGTAAGTATTTAGCTGACTGTTTGAATCAGAAGCATCATTGCTTTGATGGAACGAAGCATGCCTAACAGATGAAGGATCATCAGTGGAAGATCTAATACCATGGCCTGCAATATCAGTCTCCAGGTTCTTCCTCCTGTTACTGTCCAACCTTGTAGAAGCAATCTGGGTTTTACCACTTTCAGGGGCTCTGTTGCGCCTTCCTTGAGAAGAAACTTCACCATATGTTTCAGTAAGCTCAGGGCTAGAGTGTGTCCTTGCAAAAAGAAATCTTCCCTGAACACCAGCTACCAAATTCTCAGGGTTTGAACTTCTTTGACCTTTATCATTATGTTTATGTGCTTTCTGATTAGAACTGGTATCTTGTCTGATCTGCTTGGAGGTCCTTGAGTTGCTCCAGTTACCATGGCCCTTCTGACTTTGAGTAAGAGAAACAGTAGAAATATCACCCATCTGAGATGTGCTTTCTGAGTAATGATTAGCATGATTTGTAGGCATGTTAAGTGATCCACGCATCCCATCAGCTTGAGATCCAAGACCAGAGGAAATGTCATTTCTTTTTCCACTTGACTCGTTCCTATCATTCTCAGATCCATGTTGGTTATCTCGGTTTGACAACCTCAAGCACCATAAATCATTCCTCAGGGCATCAGGCCGATGGCCACTTCCATGCCTTTCCCATGTGTTCATAAAAAATTGATTTACCTCATAAAACAGGTCCTCTTTGGGACAATCAAGTAATCTAGCCAACCTTTTAGCCCCAAATGCAAAGGCACTTCGTATCCTAAAGAAGTTACCTAGATAAATAGCATTATTATATTTATGTGTCACAGAATGACTACAATCAACATGCAGAGAAGAAGCATATTTATCATTGAATTCAAAGGTAAGAGATAATCTCGTCAAGACATCAAAACAATACCAAATGAATTAGCACTTTATGGAAGCAAAAAATACACTGTTGTGGAAACAGAACTCCAACTAAAAAAATAAATTTTCTGAGGATGATGACAAGCTTAAGCACTTAGTAGCTAGTATAGCTAGTAAATGCACAAAAAATGCTGAAGCAGATGAAACTTTCACCACCCCCAATATGTCAATAACAGTCTTTAGACCATTTTTTTCACAAGTTTGAATTTCATAATATTAATTTGATATTTAAAAATAATCCTATAAAAATAATCCTATAAACATTTTTTTTTTTTAAAGTGACTCCCTCCAAAATCTAGATTAATTTTAATTTTGAAATCTATCATAATAACTGTGCTGCAAAGTGAAAATTTGCAGCAGATAATAGTTTAAAAGAGTTTGTAAGTTAAGACATGGAAATCACAAACATAATAAATTGACCACAGATGCTCTGAATAGAAACCACAATACAAAGATAAACAACCATAAAAGAGTGAAATATTATACAGATAATTTCAAAACCATACAATAACCATTATGAAGTTGTCAGTGTAACTACCTTTACTAACACTACGACCAAGGTTGTTGTTTACGCGCAAAGGGTCAATCACATTGAAATGTTTAGAAACAAAGGGTTGCCCCTGATTTTCTTGGCCAACTTGGACAACAGCATACACAGAGCTACAAGCATCAAGTAATTTGCTAAGTACCAACTCTTCATCTTCCCGAGGAGGTTTTGCTGCAAATGTTTGAGACAAAATATTAGTTTACGGCAAACTGAGAAGTGTCAAAAATTGGAGGAACAGTTCGACTTTTTTTAACCAAACCTACAAACCTGTTACATCTGGCAGTGAACTAATTGGTACAGGACCCCGTAGGCTAACACAAAAATTGTCCCAATCAAACTTACTGAAGAACTCTAGAAAACGATAGAGGACCTAGCAATCAAGGAAAATGACTTTCAGAGTTATGTACAAACTACAGACAAACACAAAGGAGTAAAAATAGAAATGAAAATTTAAACACCTCAAGTGGTCCTGTAAAGGAATTATTGAAAACATGGAATATGTAAAGAACCAAGGTTTCCAAGGCATAAGTTGAGATAAGTCCATGATGAGCACCCAGTATTCGGCTCTCATAATAACACCAGGCCTTGATCAATATGATGCTACGCTTGAATAAGTGATTTTGATTTATCGAATGATCAACCTAGAGACATGAACAGTAAGCGTAAGACATAAAATGTTATCATAGTCTATCATTACAAGGAGAAAGACACAGTGAAAAGCTTTAAAAGATGCAGTTCAAACCTCTTCAAGGAAGCAAAGGGTACACAACCCACCCAGCTGATTAAAAGATATGTCTACCACAATATGTTCCACAAGACACTTTATTATCTTCACCTGAAAATATAGGAATGGAACAAACAGCTAAGTAAATTTATTAACAAAGAAAAAATATATTTACAACAAATATTTATGCAAAAGATTCTCCAGAGATAATATACAATTTAGTAAACAACAATTAGAACAAAACTAAAGTTTGATAGCATGAAGAAGAAATTGGAAATTGGTTGCACTTACTTCTGCCTGAATGTACTGAACCTCCTTTACGCGGAATTCAGCATTCTCATTCTTTTCCTCATTTTCCAGCATATCACGAACCTGATGAGCCCATGTCTCCTTCAAGTTTAGATTATCACTGAAGGCTGTTAAGTCAATATCTCCATCAGGAAGATAGGTCTTGAGGGGTACAGAACCAAAAGTAAAAACCTGTTGAAAAAAATAATTATGAAAATGATTATTTGTGTCATAAACCAAGAAGAGAGAAAAAGAAACTGCTCCCACTCCAGACCAGTTGAAAGGTTATTTATCCCCACATTAAATACAAAACATAAAAACTAAAAGCTTTGAACTTGGAAACAGCCTGCTCACAACTATACAATATTCTCATCCTTTACTTTACAGCTGCCACCATCCATGTTAGATTGAATTAGCTAGAGACATTCATCCACCTCCTTAATGGAATGGATATGGCACCTTTATTATCAAACTAATTTTTTTCAATTCTGTTGCAGGCTAATTTAAGGATCCAGGTCTCACCAGGTAAAAAAAAATCAAATTAATACAATAAATATATACATCAGCAGCTGCATATCTTTATCATATAGGAACCCACCATCACCTGTAGGTCAAAGGAACAAACCTTGCAGGAGAGGCACTTCTCGATGAGGCGCTGGACATAATCGGCCACGGCATTTCTCCTCTCTTCGGAAGGAGAATTGGGCTCAATGCAGGCGATAAGCTCAGCAGTTCTCTCCTCTGCCTTCAGCCATCGCTCTGAGTCCAGCACCTGGATCACCGAGGCCGCTTCATTGGGCAATAAACCGTTCGGCAATAGCCTGCTTGATGGCTGTGACCCCCCCTCATGCTCGCCCATGCAATCCAAACACTTTCCCACAAAACAAACTTAGCCGTGTGTCAAAACCCAACCACCTCGCAAGAAAAAAAAGCGCGTGGAGGCAAGATATAACCCAAACAAGAGGACCCAGGAAAAGTCAAAGAAAATATATCAAGAAGCGGTGACTAACTCGATTATGGAAAAGGATGTCATTCAATGTGAAAAGTTCCCTCCTTAATCTGTGGAGAGGAAGGAAAGTTCAGAATCAACCTTTCATTGTACAAAAATCATGCTTCAAAGCAACAAAATTGCAAGTCCTGCAAATACCTCCACAGGACCAGGGTGTTATATAACCCAAAATCGGAACGCCCAAAACATTTGAAACCCCCTTACCAAAATTACAAAGCAGATTAATTTTCCAATTCTCTTATTACACCCTAAATCTACCAAACCCGGAAGACAGAAAACCCTAGCGGAATCAAAATTGGGGAAAGAAATAAAACCCCAGCGAAGTGGTACAATGGGCGGAGATTGGAGAGATTATCAAAACCCTAATGAAAATCGCAGAATCTTGAAGAGGGGAAGAGATTGGAGCGATAAGAGAAATTGAAATAGTGAAGAAGAAGAGGGGGAAAATGGGCGAAAGGCGATGGGATCAAAATACTAAGTTTATGTCAGGGGAAGGAGGAAGAGGGTAAAGCGCCTGTTTGGTTACGGGGATAGGGAGTAATTCTAATTTTCATAGGGTAGATGGGGATTATGGAATTTGGGGCAGGGAGAGAAAATTGGGGAAGTAAAGGAGGAGGAAAAAAAAATTCTATTTGGTAGAAAATAATTAAAAATCGATATTTTCTTACAGAGAAAATGTTTTTTTCTTCTTTTTTTTTTTTTACATCCTAAGGTTAGCTCTTGCTATACTTTGATTTTTAACCTCAAATTAAAATTTTTAAATTAATGAGGATTAATTCAATCGAGTTTTTTTTTAATTGATGAAAATGTTTTTTTTATTTAGATTATAATTTTATTTATAAATTTATTAAAATACTTTTAATAAAAACTTTCTTTACATTATTTTATTTATGTCTTTTTAATAATTTTAAT